AAGATCTTGTTAAATCATTGAAACTAATCTCTTTTCTAGTGATGTTTATTTTGTTTCCAGACAATCTTTTACAGAACTGAGAATCTTATAGGTTACAAGCTCCTTCGAAATGTGATACGAGAATATGATGAATGATTTTTTATTTTATTTTTTTTTAACAAGGGAAAATATGATGAATGACTTTCATCTTGACAAATCCGGTTTCCACTTCCAACCGTCAAAGCATTATATGAACGGTACACCATCAAAATGTCATGGTTTGAAAGTTGAACGGCAAACCAAGCCAAACCGGTTTTGTGAAGATGATTCACCGACTCGGCTGCTTGAGCTTGCAAAAATAAAACAGAAACAAATGTGTGTGTGTGAGAGAGAGAGAGATATTATGATCTCTTAAACTGATTTAGTTCAAGCAAAAATAAAACACAGAAACATGTGACAACTTTTGCCATTTCTTCTTTTTATTTTAAAATTAACTAAATTTTACATCAACTTTTTTGTCAATGGTTAATGCAATTTGGCCTTTAGCTAGCTTGTGTTTTCTGTGTGTTTTAGTGTTATTGCATATGAGCAAATAGGGAAACAAGTAGATTGGGGATTTAAATATGGTTGTTGAAGGAGTAAGTTGTTTCTAATGAAAGTTACTCACACCCAAAAACAAAAAATAGCAAACACCACTCAGTTTCCTTAGTCTTGGATCAATGGGTGTTTCAAATATTGTTTCTGTTTTATTATTGCTGGTCTTAATCAACTTAAGCAATCTTAATATCAAAGGCATTGATGCTTTTCATCAGAGTTACGAAAATTTGCAATCTCAATCAGTGGAGCATCTTCATAGAACTGGATTTCACTTTCAACCTCCAAAGAATTGGATGAACGGTACATTGATCTGATCTCTCCCTCTCGGTCAAATATAATTAATTTAGTGAGAAAATATTTGTTTCTTAATTATTAGTGTTTGCAATGATTTGATTTTTTTTTTTTTGAAAACAATGATTTTGGTCTTGATGTGTAGTTTTAATATTTTTGTTAATTTTTCGTTCCGTACTTGGTGTAAATCTTTTTTTTTTTTTTCAAAAGTGTAAATCTTATTTTGTTACACTTAATCCTCTTTATTCACCTTTTGATTAATTTCGTCTTCAACTTGTTCTACCAATAAGGCTTTCATGTGGTATTTTTTGTTTGGCGAATCCTCTTTAGTTTATCGTATTTTCCTCAAAACTTAAACCTAATTTTAATGAAATCTTAATAAACTAACCTCGTTCTTTCTTTGTTTTCGTACTGGCATTCTCGGCAATTGCAACAGATCCAAATGGTAAGTCTATCAGTATTGTTGTTGT